TTTGAAGCAGTTGCTGCTTCGGACGTCACATGTCCCGTGATTTGAAGCAAGCTTCGAAGCACTGCTTCTATGGAATAGGAAGTCCACGGCTGATACTTGCGCATTAGTTTCTGTTATGGATCAGTATCAACAGTGCTGCCAGTAACGTTACTATATTATCAATGCTACGTTAGTTATAGCCTGATATATGATAGCTAACTTCAGAATGTTGTGATGTGACGTTAGCTAACATTCTGTAGCTAACGCCGGTCACTCACCAAGATAGCTGCCCTGTTCTCCACTGGTTCTCCTCACACCAAAGCTCAATTTCTCTCCGATGGCCGTTATTTCTTCTAATCCTTGGCTGCTCCTGGTCTCTTGGACGCCTAGCAGGCTCATAATTATAAGGTTGTGGTCCGTCATATGCATTTGAATATTCATGTTCAACTTCTTCTGTGTCGAAACTAGCATTGGGATCCATGTTTATTAATACGTTACACCGGCCGCTCTCCCCCTTGTTTCCCCCATGTTACTTCACATGCGGGAGGTCACGTGCTGAGGCTTTTTTTATGCGGAAGTGAACATTTCTTACAAAAACGACGCCAGATGTCACTGTAGTGTATATTTCTGTATATGTTTTTGAAAATCTAGTGTATTCATCATTTTCCTACACATTTATTCACAGGTGTCTTTAACCTGGAAGTTGCTCTTTAAATGTAATTCAGGTTAACTTCCTGTTTTATTTAGATGCTTTTATTTTGAAGGCGAGTTTATGCTGTTGACAGGAAGTTGTTGGAAACAACATGACGGAGATAAGTAATATCTTCTAATCTACATATACAGACGGAGAAAGTAAAGAATAAAGTGTATGTTTAAATGTTAGCACCCCCCGAAGAGGCACAAGCTCTTACGTTGAGTCTGGATACATTCTAAATCATCAGTAAAGTCTACGAGCATATTTTCGTGTGTGGTTTCGGGTGCCATCGTGTGGCCTTCTGTAGGCATCGTACTTGCTTCGGCTGTTGCTTCGGCTGTTGACCAAGTTCGGGGCCATCTTCGTGCGAAATTCACAATTCCATATTCGTGTGTCCATCTGGTGTCAATTTTCCGGACAGTGTGACGCGGGCTTAACAGGATGCAAATATTTTCTTTTAACCTTTTCTTTTCAGTAAACACTATTTATTTCACTGCAGTGGGATTTACGATTGTCTTGTTTTGTGCAGGCCTCGGAGAAGCCCCTACAGGAGGAAACGGAAGACAACACGAAAAATGCTCAGAAAGGTGAGTTTATTGTCTGATCTACACCAACAATGCATGAAGTGATCAGCAGGCGATCAGTCTTATTTAGTAATATCAAAGCAACACACACATCCTGTCAGTGGTGTGGAGTTCTTCAGCCTGCTTAGAGATGATTAGCCCTGTAAGAACAGCTTCACACACAAAGAAAGTCATGTAACTTGGTGCCGTTTTGGAGTAGATGAGAGTTATTTAAAGTCATTGAAATGTTGTGTATGCTGTCAATTGTAGTTCTTAAAAAGAAAACAAATCAGATTCTGCAAAAAGAAAAATCTGACTTTTAAGAAATCAGCCAAGAAAAGCAAATATGTATCATTAATAAAACAAAAAATATAACCTCTAATATAAGAATCTCTACCTGGGTTTATTTGTCTACAGATAAAGGGCTGCTGGTTGAAGTACGTGTCAATAAGGAGTGGTACACCGGCAAAGTCATTGCTGTGGAGGTGAACAAACAGAGCGTTCGCTGGAAAGTGAAGTTTGACTATGTACCTAGAAACACTCCTAAAGACAGATGGTGAGACTCTTAAGCTGCATTCAGGGCACATGCTGGTGACTTTGTCAGATTACTAATTTCCTATACGTGTATGTTTGTGGCTGTGAAGGGTGTTCAAGGGAAGTGATGATGTCCGGTTGATGCGGCCGCCATCTCCAGTCTCTCAGACCCCTGACACCCAGCAGGAGGCAGAGAAGGGGCCGGCCCCCATGGAGCCCGACACAACCCAGCCAGGCACCAGCCGGGAGGTGACCGATAGTCTGGTTACCATGCTGAGGTGAGCTGGTTACAATGAACTGGTGTTGCCATGTTTAAAGGAGGACAGCCACTCTCTTAGTACTGTGGTTTGATCTCTGAGCCCCTCTGTGTTTCCAGGACCATGCTGCGTTACTTCTTCCCTCCTGCTTTTCGGATCCCAAAGGACGACGTTAACAGCATGTCGGCTGAGGAGTTGGTGGCCTTTCCTTTGGTAAGATAACTAACGTGTGTTGTGTTGGTGCTTTATGTTATTTATTAATTACACATTTATTTTCTAGCTGTTTTTGTTTATATTAAAGGTCCCATGTCATGGCCATTTCCACTGATCATAATTCCATTGTGAGGTCTACTAGAATAGATTTATATTGTGCAATTTGTAACACATGACATCATGCGGTACCCGGAAGAATCAATGGACAGTGACGTATTTGGGGAGGTCTTTTCTGTGTTAGAGTTTTACTCGCTACAGGGTGTACTTTGAGGGTTTTGACTCTGCAGACCTGCATAAAAACCTTCATAACACACAAGGGGACGGGTAATAACCGGAAAAGCATGACATGGGAACTTTAAATTGATCATTATTTAAGGTGTATATTTTAGTTAATTAAAGTCATTCTTTATGCTTTTAAGCGATAATCACTGGGTGATCTGGGCACCTGGTGGTTATTATATATTGGAGACAGGTGGTGTAGCCACCAGGAAAGCACAGGTCAAAGGAGAAGTCATTGGTCTGTTGCATTTTGGGATATTGGAACAAAGAGTAAATGAAATGCACAAACAACTAAATTCTTGCTTGGAAAATGGAATATTATTTCCTGCGTGAGATTTGCTTTCTGTTGCCTCGGCAGCAGTTTTAGTTTGAGTTAAAAAATCTGTTCATTTTCACCCTAACACTAAGGTCAGATTTTAAAAAATAAAAAAAAAAAAAAAAGTTATCAATAAATTGTGTGGTTTGCACATGCAGTGTGGTTAAGATATTAAAATAAATAAAATGCTGAGAGGATGCAATATTGTATCTGCAGAGGAATTGATTTCCTTCAGCAGCATTAACATAGAGCTGCTTTCACACCTCTGTGCAGCACATGCCCTAACGACTGCCTGCCTGCAAAAGCATTCTCCAAAAGAGCAATGCATTCTGTAAATAGGATGCTGACAGTGTGATGCTTCTTCAAATGTCATAATGGGTTTCTGGTGAAAGAGCAAGTTAAGGTCACTGTAAATATTGAAACAATTGGTGGAAATGTTATACCAGGTCCAGTTTTTCTTCTGCTTATACTTTCTGTTGCTAGTGCAATTTTGCACAACCCCAGCATTATCACAACCTCCATTGCTCCTTTTCTTCTTCCCTCTGCCGCCTCCTTCTCCATCCACGATGCCCTTCACGTTTTATTCCACTTTACTTTAGCGACAGTTGTGAAAGCCTCTTAATGAATATTACAGTTCTGGGAATGTGTTGATTTGTTCTTACTATTCTTTTTATTATTTCCTCCTGCTTTTCAGAAAGAGTATTTCCAGCAGTATGAATCAGGTCTGCAGTCTTTGTGCAACTCGTACCAGAGCAGAGCTGACGCCAGAGCCAAAGCTGTTGAAGAGAAGAGCAACAGCAATGAAGTGAAACTGAAGGAGGCGGACGAGAAACTACAGAAACTACGAACAAACATTGTAGCACTCCTGCAAAAAGTTCAAGAGGTAAGTCTGCTTCACTTGGTCCGAGAAACAGGAATTCCAAATCTTCAAATAGTTTGACAAAATGTATCTTTCTATCAAATACAATCGTTGTTGTATAATTGTCAATGTTTGCAGTTACTAATATTGCTTTTTTACACTTTTAGGACATTGATATAAACACAGACGACGAGCTGGACGCCTACATAGAGGACCTTCTGACCAAGGGGGATTAAAGAAGATGGATAGAGAAGAGTCCATGCACATAAACAGGCAGTTTTCATTACAGCCATTACCTGCTGATGGCTCTGTAATGACTCGTGCTTATCTGCAGAGTTGGCTGTTAAATCAGTGTGACAAGTTTGATCTTTGAATTTGGACAGATTCTCTGGCGTTTCTACAGTGTTCGGTATCCTGTGGTTTTATGTTAAGTCCTTTTTTATATCCCTGCTTATATCTGTTAATCTATGTTAAAGCCATCTTATCTTGATTGAAATATTGTATGTAGGTTTAAGACATGTATGCTCTCTTTATATAGTCGGCTAAAGCTGTGACAAACTGCAGACAACATTTGTTCCTCGTTTGGTTCATCGTCAAGTGAGATTTGGAAGTGACTGGGTTGCGCTCTGCAATGAAGCCTGTAGTTTAACTTTTATTTTTATACACTAAAAACACTGAAGTGTTTCCCATTAACTTTCTACATCCTGGTCCAACGAGGGAACCAGGTTAATATTTTACGGTTGGGTGCTGATCCTCACCCATTAACGAGAACTACTTACTGGGTTTTATCAGTATGATTATTCCCTCATTTCCCTCCTACATTCAAACTCTCACTGTTCTGTGTTTATTTTTGGAAGAAAAAAAGTAATCTCATTCGAATGCGAAAGTTGTGTGTTCATAATAATGTGCCTGTGCCCTTCCTTTTGAACAGATTTTAACATGTCATGGAAATGTTTTATCAAACGGTGCATGCTTTCAGTCTTTTTGTTCTGATTGGAACAAATGATTCTGTATTTTTGACAAATCTTTACCTAGAACAATAAAACCGGTTCAGCAACACCTCATGATGAATCGATGTCTGTTATTATTCATATGTCTGTATGTGTGAAAATAATTAAATAAATTTAGACTTCAGTAAAAAGTTAAGATCAGTCAATCAATTATCGGTTTCCATTAATACAATCTTAAAGGGTTGAAAGTGAATTGAAGGTGGGTGGAGTTTGTATTGTTTGAATACATAATTTAACTAATTATAATTGTAACAATCTTGATTATAACAGGAAATCTTCTTGCATTCGATAGTTAACTGTTTAACTCAATACTGTGAGCTCTAAACGAAATTCCTGAAAGATCTTAAGAACTTTGTAAATATATCTAAACTATCCGCATACCACTTTAAATGTTATGTTTTTGGAACTGGACTTTTATTTTGAAGGGGAGAGTGGAGGCAGCTGTGGGGAATGTAAACAGTGCTGTACACTCAAAGCTTCAGGTAAAATAATATTTCTCTTGCATTTATGAAGCTCATAAATTCAACATGCAGACGATTTGCTGTTTTGAAGCACAATGTGAAAAGGCTAAAACTGATGGTCTTTACACGGTATTTAAGCTGTTCGCTTGTTATTGTTGCGGAGCTCGGGTCACTTCGGGCTACGAAGTTGACGATGTAAAGATACACAGTTTGACAAAGAATAGCTAAGCTTAGCAGCGTGCTAACTGTATTCAACATTATACTATGATTAAGTTAGATAAAATACAATTACTCTGAAGCGAATATCTGCATAAAAAGGGCTGCGGAGTGGAGTGAACTTTGACCCACTTTAATGATCCTCAGTCATCATGGAGGCACCTCATAACATTGCTTTCAGTTTAATGTTGCTTTAAAATGATTTCAAATTAACTATATAACTACTGTGCCTGTAGGCCAGGGGTGGGGAACCTTTTTCCTCTCAAGGGCCATTTCAATTTTTAAAACATCCTCCGAGGGCCGTACAAATGATTGAACTCAACGTCTGCTTAAAAAACTTAAATCACAGCCCATTCATTTCGCCTTTCTTCCATTCTATCCATGTGGACATGATTCAAGTGTGGGGGGGG